ATATAAAACTAATTTCAAAAGCTGTGTCTACTCTAAATTATCTTTCTTGATCCTATTTAAGAATTCTTATCAAATTAAGGCTGGTTTAGTTACCAGCGTTATCACTAGAATGGCTTTTTTGCCAGCTCATTGATCACCATGTCCCCTTCTCTCCATAACCCTAACAATACTCACTTCTTTTAGGTATTTGCCCTGTGCCCCCACACTATCCAGGTCAGAAAAAGACGACCCCTTCCCCACAGCCAAGGGTGGGCCATATTCTCCAAGGGTAATTCTATCCTCTTTCTAGTGCCTAAGCCAAGCAGCACATGACAGCCCTGGTCAGAGAGACTGGACAGACCACTAAGACACACAAGAGGCTGGCTGGGCTTCCTTGCTATCGAGAGAGAAGCCAGAAAGAGTTGGCAAAAAGCGTCCCAACTGTTTAACAACTCACAAAATGAAAAGGTTGAAGATTCTGACCAACATGAACTACAGTACATGTTTATGAACAAATTACCACAACCATGAAACCTATGATCCTTTCACTTTAATACTGACCCTTCTTTATTTGGAGAGGTTGTTGACTTTGACAGACTATAGGAGTATCTCAAGGAGGAATGTGCGTGTGGAGAACAGAAGATGAAACAGCAGAATCACTAGAGAGATCCGTGTCAGACACATTACAAATCAAATCTAGAAAATGAAAAATCTCTTCTTCCTTTCCTATTTGGAGGACCAGAAGGCTTACCAAATACAAAAACAGACCTCACTCTTCAGAACAGTGGAAACCATATCCAAGAACCCTGGGAAAGGATGCAAACTGTCTTATTTCAGAAGCATTAATGAGCATTTCTTGGGAACACTTGTAAACTAAAAAGCTGTTTATAATTGCTAACAAGCAAAAAGACAGCATAGCAAAAATTAAATAAAAAGACTACAAGGACTCAGAATCAGCTTAATGGCTTAATATGGATCCACCCTAGTAGCTGTCATTAGCCTATTTTGTCATTTGCTTCATTTTTTGTTTTTGTCGTTGTTTATTTCATTTTGTTGAGACAGCGTCTCACTTTGTAGTTCAGGCTGGCCTTGAACTATCTATGTAAGCCAGGGTGGCCTCAAACTTACAGCAATCCTCTCTCTTGCTTCAGCCTCAAGAGTGCTGGGATACAAGTGTATACCACCAAGCCCTGCCTGTCCTTTGCTCCCAGTTGTAGGCCTTGCTGATTCTCCTAAGGTTTAGACAGTTGCTTCCCCGTGAGCTATACTGCAGTTTTCCAGTTGTATGACTCAGATAGGGCAAGAGATGGAAGGGCTCTCCTCTTCCACACCGAGATAAAATCAGAAAATGCTTATTTAGCTCTGGGAAAGCAAGGGTTAGTGAATTCACTGTACAGATGTTCACAAGCTTTTTTTCTTTGAAGTCAAATATTTACTAAGTGCTTAGTATATAGGAGTCACAGTCTATTATCTCTCCAAAGCCAAGTCATGAATTATTTTTATCAGTTCCAAACTTCCTCCAAGTCTCTAGTAACAAAGTTGAATATTTTAAAGGACAAAAAAAGTATGCCTCACAAAACTTGAAATTGTAGTTGTTGCAATAGAACTGGTGGACTATAGGTCAAGTTTGTTACTTCCAGGATACCTATGTTGACACATAAGGATAAGAGATTCTACTTTTGTTTTTCGGGGGTTTTTCTTGTTTGCTCTGGGTATGTAGTTCAGGCTGGCCTTGAACTCACTATGTAGGTCAAACTGGCCTGGAACTCGTGGCAATCCTCCAGCCTCAGCCTCCAGACTGCTGGGATTACAGGCATGCGCCACCACGCCTGGCTAAATTATATACTTTTCTTAACAACAGCAAAAAGTTCAAATGATGTGCACCAAATTGTTTATTCAATGTAAAAGTCACGTTGCCGGGGATTTAGCTCAGAGGTTACACTCTCGAAAGCGCAAGGACCCGAGTTCCATCCCCGGGTCGGGGGGGAAGTCCCGTGAAAGTAAATGGAAACGAGCTGTACTAAATAGACTGACAAATACCATCTGAAGGCAACATCTGCCCTACCTGCCAGGTTTGGCACACAATAACTACACATCTCTGGATAACTGGAAAAACTGAAGGCAGATTCGAGCACTCAGAACATAAACCACGCATCACACACACAGGACCGGTTTATATCAATTAAGTGCTCTGAAGGTCATCAGTGGTACTGTCCAATGAAATGTTCTGTGTCATTCTGCTTTGTCTTTTAATTCTGCAGGCTACCCCTAAAGCAACCTTACTTCTGGAAGAATACATTTCACACTCAGAAAACAGCATGGGCAGGTAAGCCCACAGCCTCCCACTAGGCGAAATATTCACCCGGCGGAGCGCGGGGACATAGTGGGCTGGCAGTGAGCCACAGGGGCACACCCCGGCGGGACGGAAGGCCCCGGGGCCCGGGCAGCGTCCGACGCCCGCACCTGGGAAAGTTCGCACCTCGAGGCTTCCCCGCCCCTCGCACCGGCCAGGCCCTCAGCCGCCGGGCTGTCGCCATGGCGACCGCCCCCCCCCCCGACGCGCCCCGACCCGGCCTAGGGGCCGCGCCGTCGTCCCGCCGCGGCCACGAGCTCGCTTCCCGTAGGAGCCGGGACCGGGGCCGCCGAGCGGGAGACCGGGCTCGCTGGGCGCGGGGGAAGATGAAAGGTGCGAAAGGAAGAAGTCGCCTGGCCCCGACGCGGGGGCCGGCCGCTGCCCCACGGGTCCTCACCCTTCACTTTGCCGAAGGTGCCGACGCCCAGTGTGTCCCCTAGGATGTAGTGGCCGATCTTCACCCGCCCTTCGTGTTTCTGCTTGTCGGCGGCCGCCATCTTTTCCCCGGAAGTGAGACTGCGCACGGCGCCGCGGGAGGGGGCGGAGGGGGCGGGCGGCTGGGAGGGCGGCGGGGCCCGTACCGCCCTGCGCCGCCCGCAGTCCCTCCTGACCGCCGCCCGGGCCTGGCGCAGACACTCCTGCCGGGGGCAGGCGGAGGGGGGGGCTGTCGGGGCGCCCCCGCTCGTCCTGGTCCGCCCCCCTGGGACCCCAGCGCTTGCCCTCTTGCGCGCGGGGTCCGAGGTTGCTGAGCCAGGCGGCAGCTCTGGGCCTCCGCAGCTGGCACGGACTCTACCCGCAGTGGGCTCCCTGATCACCACTGGTAGGCTGAGCGATGAGGTGGAGGCGCCAGCTCTCCTGTGATTGAGGGGCCGATGAGCCCTGGGAAAGACGGCAACGTTGCTGCTTTCAGGCCAGTGTTAATTGAAACGTGGCAGGGGACACCGCCCTGCCACTGTTCCCTAATCTTTTCATCTTTTCTTCCCAGACTCCAGAAGCAACAGGAAGTTTTCACTTACAT